TTTGAAAACCTTAAAAAGTGCTTCTGTATTTAAAACGCTTTAAAAGTTCCTCTCTCCTCTCATATGAAGACCTTTAACAGATCTTCTTAAAAAAATTAAAATTTGATCAATAGAAGTCCTCTTTAAAGTTCTTCTGTTAATGGATGAACTTCAAAATATATTTCTCAATAGGAAACTTTAAAAAGTCCTCTAGAGATCTTCTCTCATTCGGATACCTAAAAATGGTCTTCCATATTTCAAAAACCTTAAAATTAGTATACAACAGGTCAACAATAACAAACAACAAAAACCTTAAAAAGTGTTTCTGTATTCAAAAAATTCTTAAAATTTCTCTATTCTCTCAATTGATGTCCTCTAACAGATCTCCTCAAAATTGAAAAGCTTTAACAGATTTTTCGTCTATAGATGGTTGTTTTTTTTTTTTTTTTTTTTTTTTTTTTAAAGACCTTCTCGCCGATTTTTTACAACGCCTTTACTTGTAATACCTGTAAACTAGTCTCGAAAATTGTTCTTTCTGTTGGTAGACCTCCGAAGTGTATTTTATTTGTCAAAAACCTTTAAAAGGTATTTTATTCATGGAAGACTCCCAGATACTCATAGTTTGAGAAGACCTCTTAAACATTTAATATTTATTGAAGTCTTGTAAAAGGTTTTCAATTCCCATAATCCAAAAATATATTCTATTTTTTAACATCTCCAAAATACTATCTACCTATAAAAGGCCTCCTGAACATCTCCTGCCGAAGATAGGACCTCTAATTTTTTTCTTTTTATAGAAGTCCTCCTAAATGTTTTCAATTTATATAATTTTAAAATATCTTATATTTTTAACATCCTTAAATGCTGTCTACACACAAAAGGCCTTTTAAAAATCACCTGCTGAAAATAAGACCTCCGAAACATCTATTTATGGAAGTCCTCCAAGAGGTGTCCAATTTCTATAATCCTACAACATATTCTCTTTTTTAACATCTTCACAATACTGCCTACTTATAAAAGTCATCTTAAACAGCTCCTGCCGAAAAAAGGACCTCTAAAACATCCATTTATGGAAGACCTCCAAAGGTCTTCAATTTTTATAATCCTAAAAAATATAAATTCTGTCTTTAAAATACTTTTCAAATGGGCTTCCATAAATATACCTTTTTTAACTTCCTCTATATTTATATTAATCTTACAATTCCTTTCGATTTTCTATTTGGTTCCTTTCAAATAACCCTATACAATACAATGGAATTTCCTCTGCTTTGTGTTTGGCCCCAAAAATATTGGAAACAAATGCTCTTTGGCTACACATTTAGCAGACAAATAACAATTTTTATAACTACATTACTTTGGGCGTTATCCTTCACAATTGTTTGGAATGGAGTGGTGATCTCCTCAGCCCCTTCCCACATCGCATTTGGTATTGTTTAACCTTTTTGCCGATTGGACGATTGTTTGAAGTTCTCTGGCTAAATTGGGCCACAAACAAACAAGTCATACAGCCAGCTAGCCAGCCATGCATCAGCTATACATTTAGTAATATGGCGGCGGCGTTTTGGGATTGTTGTTGCTTTGCTGTACTCAATGCATGATGATAAATTGAAAACAATTGAAAATTCAATTTCGATTATTGAACATTTTTGTAATGGGAGTTTAACGGAACAAAAAAAAAATACAAAAACAAACAAATAATATTTGAGTTATATCATAAAAGTTGTTAGAGTTTCCAGTCTGGTTATGAGGTATGGCATTTTTCTTTTGGCAAAAGCCAAAAAAAAAATAAATAAATTATGTTCTGAAAAATGTTATGGGGTGCCACCAAGTGGTAGAATTCTTGTGTGGACTACTTGCTGGACATTATTTATTAAACGGACAAACGAAAACAAAAATAGTAAACTTTTTTTATAGAATTTGGGAAGATATGGCTTCATGATAACAAAATATTCCTTTCCAGTAACAAAAACTTCAATACCTTATCCTTTAATTTCCATAACATTTTATCGAACTTTATTCGAAATATATTTTGCAATAATGTCAATTCCCATTGGACATCTGTCCCCATTTCATTTATTAAATTCCTATAAAAGATTAATAATTTAATGTGTTATTAAACACTCTTTTGTATTAAGATGCGGGGCTTTGCTGCATCTGTATATGTATTGGTGAGTGTGTGTAAGGCTTTGTGTGCAAAAGTTTAATTTTTATTAATTATATGTCATTTTATAGCATATCCATTAACATATGTAAACAAAAAGTCCATATGTGTACATACGCTTGCTCTCGGTCTCTTTAAATGAGGACAAGTTCGCCAACAACTGCAAAACTATCCATCCTTTAAATATGCAGCAGAAAATTGAGTAATGATATGAGGGTGGATATATTGGAAAATCAATGTCCTAACCAGTTGGAAAGTATTTGAGGGTTTGACCACATATGTATAGAATCAGCCTACGGCTTACATTGGTTTGTTTAAGAGCTATTTACACAATATATTAGAGTCATATGTATAGTGATTTTTTTACATTTTATGTGCTACATAGCATACTTTTCGTAGCTCACAGCAATTTTTAAAAATTAAGGAAATATAATTCTTTTTACTGCACAATTCCATATGGCGTCCATCTCCAATATTTATACAATAAATGTATTTATTTATTTAGAGTTTCGTATTCGTTTAAAAATTCTGGGCAGCTTTTAAAACTAAGATCTAAAAATGCTTAAAAATGTGGGAAAAGTCATTTACACATGACTGCATCATGATCCACATGATTTAAAGCACTGTGATACACAAAAAAAAAAAAAAAAAAATAGTCACAGAAGAACCCCAGTAGATTCGACGATTTAAAGTATTTATGATCTAGCAAAATGTAAGCCCTTGGAGTGGGTATATGCTACCTTACATAATTCTGAAATAAGTATTGTCATGTTTTCAATCAAATATTTTATAATTTTTTTTTTAAATGTTGTCCGTTTTTGAGGCTTATCCTAACGTCGCTCTAGGTCTAATATTGCTAAAATGGAGGCAAAGGTTGATGAAAATAAGAAACTACTTCATTTTCTTTGCGAATTAGGCCTGCATGATATTCGGTATTTTGATAATTTTAGCGACATTTTTAAACTCTAGAAACCAACAGAGACCTCAAAATCAAAAATCAGAATTTTGGATCTATACCTTCATCCACTACCAAATTTAGTAACATTTATTATGCATATCCAAATAAAGTACATCTATCCATTCTAGATACCAACGGTAATAAAAAATTAGTACCATTTACTTTTTTTCGTACTAATATAGAACGCATTCCCAAATCCATCGCGATATCTCAATTCCAGATACAAAAGATACTTCAATATCAAATTTTAAAATTTCAGCCCTATCCATCCTTTTCGAACAATTATAGTACAAACCACCTCCATATTTTAACCATAGACACAAACTGTGACATTTACTAAAATTTAGGATTCCATTACCGAATTTAGTGCATGTTAGTACTTTTGGTATAAGTATAGGAAATAAAGTACCATTCGGTACTTTTCGTACAACTGTAGTTAACATTTCCGAAAGCTCCTCCATATGTTCAGGCTACACATGAACAGCGAAAAAATAGCAAAATTTATATTTGAAGCACTATTTCTTCACCCAACACAAATATTGTGCCAAATGTATTACTATATAGTACTTTTCGCGGAATTGTAGTGCATATTTCCAAAACCACATCTTTATTACAAACCTACCCCCAACAGGGATCCCAATAACAATTTTCAAAATTCCAGTTTCATACGCTCATCGTACTCCAAACTTTTCCAAATTTAGTACACTTTAGTACAGTTAGCACACTTTCCCAAACCAACTTCATATATAAAACTTACTTTCCGACCTTAATTCTCATACCAAATTTTTCTATCCGTTCACATAGTACCAAATGGTACCATTTTAGAAATTTAGAACCTTTTTAAAAATTTTCGTAAGCTTTCGAATTTTTAAAAACCCTATGGTACATCTATCCAGCACTCCATCAGTGACTCTCATGCCAGCTTTTTCCATTTGTCCAATCGAAAGTATTAAATTTTTTATATACTTAAGTATTTTCGTACCCTTTTAGAACGAATTCCAAGACACTAATTCCAGAACGCCTACTCACCAAAACTGACTCTCGTGGAAAATTTCAGGCCTTCAGCTTCACCCGTTTCTTAGGGGCCTAAATTTGAGTTCTTGTTACGATCATTAATTGCTGTCTAACTTTACGGTCCGTACTTTTGTAAACTTTTAGCAACAGCGACTATGATTCGTATAGACCTGTACAAAACTAGTTCAATCAAAGGAACTAGTTTCTTATCTCGTATAAGTAATATGAAATGTATGAAATCACTCATACGTTTAAGAACTGGTATACTGAACTATAATAGAGATTGGCACAACTTTACTTTTGTAGGCGGACATATCCTCTCTGTGCCGTTCGGTACTAATTACTTGGTATGATTAACCTCTAATATAGGAACGACTTATTATTTTTAGTTTCATTGTAATACAAAGGGTATGAAGTTGTCATTACTAGTGATGCTGAAAACGGAACATATTTTTTTCTGGATAAAATAACTAAAATTTACCCTTAAATCCTACAAAAGAAGAAAACCCTTTGGATGGTTTTCTTCTTTTGTATCTTGTAATCTTTATTTTGTTATTCTATAAAAATCTAATTAAAGGGAATTTAACTGTAAAAAAAACCTGGGGACATCTCATTTTTATAGGAGCCCCTTAAAGAATTTCTCTTCATAGAACTCCTATTACGATTTTTTTGATTTTTCTTGTTTTTCTTCTTCTCGCCCCAATATACCCTGCAATTACTCTACATACATACATTTATCGACATATATATTTATATATTCATACACATACATTCCATATTGGCATGTGTGAGTATGTGTGTATTTACGCATGCAAGTTTGTGTGCACATTTTAATATTATCTCATGGCATCGGCATCATCGTTATTTGTATTTTGTTGTATTCCACAGGATCCAGATGCATCATTTGACATTAACGGCAATGATTCGGATCCAACACCGCAAGATAATGGCGATAACAAGCATGGCACCAGATGTGCTGGTGAAGTGGCCGGTGTGGCTTTCAATAATTACTGTGGTGTAGGTGTTGCCTACAATGCCAGTATTGGTGGTAAGTACAAAAAAAATCACACACACATATACAAACAAATGCATTTTATATTGCATTTTAAATGTAATATACGAATATTTGTAATTTTAATATATATTTATGTAGGCAATTTTTTTTTTAATTTCCATTACAATATTTGAAATATTACGAACGAGAATACGCACGGTGATTATGGAAATTAATTAAAGTATATTCATTTATTTTGTGTTATTTTTGTTAATATGACGATTATTTTTTGTGAGTGTGTGTCAACTTTATGTACTTGGCTGGATTAAAATTGCAAAATTTGTATGTGGAGATTTTAAGAGGATTGAATGTGAAATGTTTTTTTCCGCAGAAGAAATTGAAATTTTATTTTCTTTCCAAGAAATGTGTTCTTTTTACCCACAGCCATATGGTTACAGAAGATATGGCCGAAACGTGCCTCTTTGAAATAACGATTTTAGTGCCTATGCCTCTTTCGACCAAATTCGTTTCAGGACATTTGGAGTGGATCTAGGAGTGTCCGTCTGTCTATCTGTCTGGCTGGCTGGTGTGCCCGATAACTCTCGAAGGGTTTTGATTCAAACTCAGTACATCGTAATACTATTGTCCAACTTAGTTCGGAAATATCGCCAATATCGGTCCACTCTTTCTTGTACCTCTCCCACAAAAGGACAAACATTTCAAAGAAAATAATTTACCTCACAGAACAAGAAATAACCCATCCCATTTTGTTCAAACTATAAAAATATTAATAATTTTATCAGGTCAAGTGCGAAAATGGACAATATCGGTCCACTCCATCAAGTACCACCCCCACAATGGTTCAAAATTTAGAGTAATCATATCTCTTATAAATGTGAAATAAGATCTGACTGTCTTCAAATGTCACATATTCCAATAATAACGGAATGAATAGTCATAACGGAAGTCAAAATATATTTATATAATTGAACATTGGATGAGGGTATACATCGGAGTCGATTTAACGATGTTCGTCCGCAGCAGCTCCAATTATTTGACGTAGAACTTTAAAATTTGGCACCGTTATTTGCTTCGTGTCTAGGATTGTTGGAATTGAAAATAAGATGTATCGATCCACGTTTTGGGATAGCCCCCATATAACAGTACCTCCCTTATTTGATCTTCGTTAAGGGTTATAGCTCTAGTGACAGAACTTTGTGCATAATAATGGTCAACGTTTTCATATAGCCCCCATAAAAATGGCTATGTGTAATTCGTTATGGGCTCTAGATCCCCAGGCCGAACATTCTATCCGTAGGTTTATGTTTTTGTATAGCCGTCATATAAGGGCACCTCCCATATTCGGTATTTTGATGGGTTTTGCCGGGTTTTTGTATACATAGATCACGTTTTCGTACAGGCCTAATATAAAGTTAACTCCCGATATTCGGTATTTTGACGATTGTTGCACATTTTTCAACGGATTTGTCTAAAAATTGGTATTTGTAGTTCGTTATGGGTTCTAGCTCCGGTGGCGGAACATTAAATATCTAGGTTCACGTTTTCGTATATCCCTCCTATAAGGGTACTTCCGATATTCGATATTTTGATGATTATTGCATTTATCTACGGAATTGTCTAAAAATTTGTATTTGTAGCTCGTTATGGGTTTTAGCTCCGGTGGCGGAACATTAAATATCTAGGTCCACGTTTTCATATATCCCTCATATAAGGATACTTCCAATATTCGGTATTTTGATGATTGTTGCACATTTTTCAACGTATTTGTCTAAAAATTGGTATTTGTAGTTCGTTATGGGTTCTAGCTCCGGTGTCAGAACATTTCCACATTTTCGTATAGGCCCCATATAAGGGTACTTTCCAATATTTGGTATTTTGATGATTTTTGCCAAATTTTTTAATGGATTTTTCTAAAAATTGGTATTTGTAGTTCGTTATGGGTTCTAGCTCCTGTGGCGGAACATTAAATATCTAGGTCCACGTTTTCGTATAGCCCTCATATAAGGGTACTTCTGATATTTGGTATTTTGATGATTTTTGCCAAATTTTGCAATGGATTTTTCTAAAAATTTGTATTTGTACCGAACATTAAATATCTAGGTCCACGTTTTCGTATAGCCCCCATATAAGGGTACTTCCCGATATTTGGTATTTTGGTGATTTTTGCTAAGTTTTTCAAGGGATTTGTCGACGAAAAGGTATTTGTAGATTGTAATGGCTTCTAGCTCCGATGGAGGAACATTGTACATATAGGCGCACGTTCTCGTATAGGCCTCGTAGAACGGTACCTCCCGATATTCGGTATTTTTTCTACGGATTTGTCTAAAAATTGATATTTTTAGCACGTCAGAACATTGTCCATATTGATCCTAGTCATCCTTACCCATGAAATTATGTAAAATTTGGTATTTAATGCTCGATAGATAACAATCGTTGTAGTATAAAATTGTCTATAAAGGCTCCCGTTTTAGTATGACCCCCATATAACGACTCCGACCATTCTCCTACCAATCTTCATAGAGTTTGTAGTTTAAAGTGAAAAATGTTTAAATCCAGATACTTTGGCATACAAATTTTTCCTTTACCCAATGGTGGAGGGTATTACAAGTTCGGCCCGGCCGAACTTAATGTCTTTTAACTTTATTTTATCTTTTTTATTTTATTTATTTATTTTATTTATTTATACATTATTTATTTTTTATTTATCTTTTTTTTAAAAAAATTGTTATTTATATTTGAAATTTCAATTAAACACCTTATTCATATTCATATTGGTGACGGGGAATTGTATCTTACAAATAACCCTGATGAGATCTATTATGTTTGTATGAGCTTTTCACAAAGAAAGTTCTGTAAACAAAAAACTGACAGTTCCTCTAGCTCACAACTAAGAATCTACTTCTGTTTAAAAGGTTCTTTTAAGATCTTGAAAATTCCTCCAATATAAAATTCCCGGAAAAATAAATATTCTCACAACTAACTCGATATTGCATACCTTACTACCTTGTCATAAAAATTCTATCGAACTTTATATAAGCGGAAACATGCTTATGTATTGCTATGCCATGAAGTTTTTAACAGGATATGTTACTTAGACTTACATCATGCGATGCATTTACTTGCATGCACACACACATATATTGTCAGAAATAGAAACAGAAAGAATGTGTTTATGTAAAGTAATTTGAACAAACAACATTCAACTATTTACAGTTACATACATATATTTATATACCTACATGTATACACACATGTACGTGTCGCATATGCCCACAATGTAAACTCACGCATTTTCTGCATATCAAAATGCTCGTTTATTTTCTCTGTGACGCCACACACACATACATACAAAAGGAAAATGCAACGCATAACAGTCGGCCGATTTTCAAGCAACACACACATTCACAACTACACATTTATCTTGGCCAATGCACCATTCATGACTACCACACCAACACTCCAGCAGCACAAAACTACTAATACCAACAAAGATGGAACAAAAAACACTATGAATGCCATTCATAGTGGTACGGAAAAGATAACAAACAAGCGAACAAACAATGCCTCCTATTGAGTACTTTTAACAAATGACAAACAATTTATGCACCCACAGAAAAATAGAACCAGAATTCATTCATTCATTCAGCTAAGCAGAATATGCTTTTGCAATGAGCGAACCCATACACCAACTCGCACATAACAATACCAAAATTTGTAGCAACAACAAAACTTCACCAAGTGAATTGTTTGGTGTCCTAACAATGACAATGGTGTTGCCTTGTTGCTGCAGAATGCTGATGAGGATGATGATGACGACGGCGACAACAAAAAGCATTCCAATAAACCCACTCATCATGAAACAACCTACCATAATGTGCTCGTTGATAAAGTAGGCAGTTGGTTTAAAAATGGAGAAAGAGAGAGAGAAACGCACTTGCAGGTCCTAAATATTAAAAAAAAATGAAATACGGTATTTGGCCATCCAATTGTTTTGACATACATATGCATGTTCCTCTGTAAGCAAGGAAATCATTTCTAAGGTATTCTCTACGGAGAAACTCTTGTCTAGGTGTTCTTTACAAAAAAAATATCAAAGAAGACGTTGTGAGTTGACCCTACACGGAAGACCTGTAGAGGTCTGCTCTAGGGAGAAAAACTTTTAAAGTCTCCTCACTCAGGGTCATAAATATTTGAAAAAAATATTCTTTGGGCAGAAAAATCGTATGTAAGGCTCTACAGAACTAAATAGATATTTACAGGTCTTCTATGACCTCTCTAAGACTGTAATACAAAGGAGGCGTTGTGAGGTCTAAACTACATAGAAAAACTGCTAAGGTATCCTCTACAGGGAAAAATAATTGTGAAAAGACCTCTTGTGGCTTGCTCGTCAGAGAAAATATGTTCTCTGCTCTAGAGAGAAAACTTCTTGATGTCTGCTCTACCACAGAGATCTATTAAAGTCTACTCTACAGCTAAGCCCTCTTGAGGTCTACTATAGAGAGAAAGCCTCTTGAGATTTATTCTACAGGAAAGGTTTTTTGAGATTTGTTCTACAGAGAAGGCTTTTTGAGATTTGTTCTGTAGAGAAGACTTCTTGAGGTCTGATTTACCTAGAAGACCTCTTGATGTGTTCTCTTCAGAGAATGCCTCTGAAGGACCGCTCTACCGAGAATAGTTCTAGAGGATGTCTTGAGCTCTACTCTTCGCTAAAAAGACCGCTTAAGCTCTCCCCTGTACGGAGAAAAGTCTTTAAGCTCTTCTCTGTACAGAGAACAGCACTTGAGATCTTCTTTTAAGGAAGAATAGTCATTGAGCTCTTCTTTGTTCGGAGAACTGCCCTTGAGCTTTTCTCCGTTCGTAGAACAGCCATTGAGTTCTGCTCTCTACGGAAAACAGCCCTTGATCTGTTCCCTGTACGGATTAGTGCCCTTAAGTTTTTTTCTGTACGGAAACATCCCTCGATCTCTTCTCTGTGCGGAGCAAAGCCCTTGAGCTCTTATCAGGGCGGAGCCAAGCCCTGGGGGTCTATGCTG